TATGTGCGAGTGTATGTTTTAACAAAGATGAGTTGTGCATAATAATTTGCGTATATATATATATGTGTGTGTGTGTGTGTGTGTGTGTGTGTATGTTTCAACAAAGATGAGTTGTGTATAATAATATGCGTATTTATAATATATAATATTCTTCATCAAAAGCAAGGCAAATGAACAGGCTTTAAGATTATACAAATAACTCCATATGCTTAAAAATAAACGAGTGGCTGATTCCACCACGTCGCGACACATACACATTATATCTAAAATTATATATATCATCATTAACATTTCAACAGACCAAAACGCTTCTTCACATGGATTTTATAACATTTTCAATGCTCTGTTGAGACATTCTGTCCCACTTTTGCGACAGCGCAATCTTCCAATAGCCAGCTGCAGAATCTCAATTCGGCACACACTTTGCTGTTCAGTTCTTCCCATACGTGCGCTGTTGGAGACATGTCGGGTACGTACACTGGCCAGAAATATTTTGTCAAAATTCAAATTCAAGGTGTTGAAATAAAGCAAAAAAAGGTGCATAAAAAAGCCAGTACGTACACTGGCCACATGACATTCGTGTTATGATCTTCCAGAAACTGTGTTGTTTGTTAAATGGGCAGTGTAAGGGCAGGAGTGTCGTGTAGGATGACTGAGAGATTCTGATTTTTTCTTTGTGCTGTTTGGCACCGTGAAGACAGTGCTGTTGTTGCGGCTTCGTTAATTGCAGTTCTAAATACGGCGTTCTTGATCTACGTCCTGTACTTGCTGCTCCGCACCTCACACTGATGAAAGAAACATTTTCAAGCGCCCCTTGCATGCCCCGAGCTGCTACTTTTGAGAAACGAAACAATTTCGCAGATGCGACAGCAAAATCTGCCTCTCTTGAACACGGCTGGTCACTTGAGACTGTCCTTTTTTTTGCCCATCCCAGACATTTCAAGTGTGCTAAAATCTTTGTATAAGTCGAGAACAATACACGCACTGCATTTAAGCCGTATGGCTGCTTCTCAGGCAGATTTTCTGCCTCGAACAAGGCAGAAGCGAAAGTTGCGATCAGTTTCGCCAAGTTGAGGAGTCTTGTAAAGAAAGAAATTTTTAAAAAATTGATCGAAAAAAAGCCAGGACTTTTGTTTGAAATGAGCTCCAGGTCATCTTCCAGGTAAATAATTTTGAATTCTTTTATAATATAGCAACTAATGAACACATTTTACTAAAGCATGGTTTACTGTATTGTGGTAAAAAGTACTCATGGAAATAACAAAAATCGTGCATGGGTGTATGGACTAACAACTGCTCACTTGTGTCTCCAAAAATCGTGCTGATCAGGGCATATTTGGCCTTTTAATAACTTTTTAATGGTGTTTAGTATAATATATATATATA